GAAACAATATCAAAAAATGCATCAAAACACGACACGGATCATGGGCTGGAACATAACAACAGTCGAGCTCCATTCTAGCGCTGAGTGAGCGGCGAATTGGCGATGAGTGAGCGCTAGGCTCCTTGCTTTGAGCGCTCGATTGGGAGCTTGGCAAGTAGCAAGTGGAAAAAGGTTGAAATCATTTCTTAGTCTATATTTTGACCTCTTCAAGACGCAATTCAACTGATCAACAGAAACCTAATCGAATTTGGATTAAACTTTAACATATTTCTACCTTGAGCCAAATCCCATGCAATTAATCAAATTTCAAAAAATTCTCCATCTGGAGACAAATTTCAGTGCTTGGCAAAATTGAACTCTTCAATAGGAACTTCAACTAATTCTCTAACGAACAAAATGCTTCACCTCTTCCACAAAATCCAATTAAAAATAAATAAATTCAAACACCACTTAGCAAAATTATCTGAGTTCCCAAAATTTTCTTGAATTATCACCACGAGCAACAACATCACAAATAATTCAAAAATTAGCAAACAAGGTTGAAACATGCCATGAAACAGAATCAACACCACAAAATGCTTTTGTAGAAGGTTTTTCGCTAGCTTCAACACCTTCAACTATACTTAAAACATACACAACTAAATTAGCTTCCACGTACCTTTGTAGAGGCCTAATATTTCATTTGGATCTGCCGCTAGCAATCGAATATGATGGCACTCTAGGTGGTATTGGTAAAGCGGCATTATTCATAAACTTCTGTACTTGATTGAGATGTACTCTTCAGAAATGGCCCCAAACCAAACTCTAATAGCACTATATCAAACTGAATATCCACCAAAGTGTAAACCTCTGCTAATTGATCTTCAAAGATTGTGCACAACCTTACAAGACATATAGTTGGGAATTTCTACCCCTCCAACACAACATAGACAATGTTACGAACTTTCAAGAGTTCATCTTTACCAATGAACTTGTACCCTTTTAATCAATAGTCAAAGAGATAAGATTGTTCTTAAAATCTGGAACGTGTCTCATTGCATCAAGTGTTCTAACCGTCTCATCTAAAATATTAAGTCTAACCATTCCAATACCAGCTATCTTACATGGTTCATTATTGAGCATTACCACAACACCATTTGAAACTGTTTCAAATGTTGTAAACAAATCTCTATTCGGACACATAAGAAAAGTGCAAGCTGTATTAAGAATTCACTTCTCGTCAAATTTAGAGTCGCTGTTAGAAATAACCAAAAATTCTACATCATTTAAACAGTTCCCTACAACATTGGTTTCACCTGAAGTTTCTGATTGCATTCTCTTCTGATTTGCAACCAACTTTTTTTATTTTATTTTGCAATCTATAGCAATTCTTTTTAATGTGCTGCTTCTTCTTACAATAGTCACAAAATTTGATAACTGAAGTTAGACTTCGATCTACCCCTCTCATAACCAACATGAATAACAAGGCTTTCTCTTTAAACCTCAAATCCAACAAGATATTTCGTCTTCTCTTTTGATAACAAAGCATCGTATACTTCTTCAGTCACGAGAATATCACGACTATATAATATTATGTCTCTAAACGATATATATGAAGAGGGCAACAAACACAACAAAATCAAACCCAGATCATCTTCATCATACTTAACCTCCAAAGTTTCCAATTAACGACAATTTCTTTAAAGACAACAAGGATGTACCTTTTATCATATGATGAGAAAACAAAAGCTGCTTCAAATGCAATTTGCTAGTTAAATTTTTCGTCATGCAGAATTGCTCCAACTTTAACCACAATGCGGTTGCAGTTTTCTCATTCAAAACGTTCTAAAAAATATGATTTGGAAGATGAAGATGAATCTGTGATATGGCTTTTCGATCCATACGTTTCTTCTCTTCTATATACCAACTTGAGGATATCTTGTTAAATCCTAACAAAGCACCGTCCAAATTCATCTGAATGAGCACTGCTTGCATCTTCACTTGCCAAAAAGGAAATCTAGTGTTGGGATCCAAAATCATAATATTATGCTTCATAGTTGCCATCACAAGAACAAAAAACCTCAAACAAATCAAACCTTAAACTCTGATACCACTTTTAAAAAATAAGGACTAGATTGCACTGTGCAATATGAAGTAGCAATCACAATATAAGAGGAAAAAATGATTGGCAAAGGAAAGCAGATCACTATATTATGGAGAAAGAATACCAAAATATTGTCTTTATAATATTATCTAACTTGTTCTAACTGTAAAGAAGAGTATACTATTTATGAAGAATATGTTAAAACCTTGTTACAAGTCCTAAAAAGAAAGATAATATCAAAAAGCGTCAAAACATGAAATGGATCACGGACCAGAACATAACTACACTTGAGCTCCAGCAATCGGTGCTGGTTGGCGATGAGTGAGCATCAAGCTCCCTACTTTGAGCGCTTGAGTACGAGCTTGGACCGTAGCGAGCGAAAAAATGTAGGATATATGGTACAGAGTATGAGTGCGAAAATTTTCTAATTCTATATATCGACAATTTAGCAATTATCAAAATCGCAAATTATTGTGAAAAAAGGAGAGATCCTAAGATGCAAGATGAACGTCACTAGCAATGTGAATCGTGTTGTCATTGGTGTGACACGTAGTTGGAAAATTCTGAAAATTAATTGAAAGATGTGTGTGCGTGTTCGAGGAATACTATTTTTTTTTTCCAATTTAATTTTCAAAATCAAATATAAATTTTAATTATACATTTCTCCGAATCCATAATTACTTTAACAACTTATAATTTTATCAAAGCAAATTGAGTAGGATTTTGTGGTCATTCAGTGGCAGAGACAGACATTTTAAGTTAGGGATACAAACTTGCAAAAAGGTTGTGAAAAATATAAAAGTATTTGATATCTCATAATAATTGTTCTCTGCATTCTCAGTCCTAACGTCCTCGATATTAGTTTCAATCGAAACATCTTCAAGATTAATTTCATCAATTTCATTATTTTCATCCCAACACTTGATTCATTACTAAGTCTTTCATCCCTTTCATCTCCAACATCATTTTCATTCATTTTATCTTGAACATTTCTTTCATTAATATTACTCATAACAAGAAAAATGCATATTTATGTTTAAAGAATTTGTCCATAATCAATACAAAAAATCAATTAAAACAATCAATTCAAGTAAACGAACAACAATTTGATAATGCATCCTTGTGGTAATTGGAGTGTATTGAAAGAGGTTTAAGCGTTGGAAGCATCGAAATACATAGATGATTAACTAGAAAAAGTTAAAATGTGTTGTAATTAATCTAGAAACTATCCAGTTTGTAGTTTCCATAAACAATTTTATTTATTTTTTATTTTTAATTCTTAATGAGTTTCCAACACGTCCTATAAAGAATTTCTAATGACGAGAATGATGGTAATTAGTGTTGAATTAATTTCTAAAACGTACTTTTCTTTAGTTTTCCTGCTTAATTAGTGTTTTCTCTAATTATGATAATTTCTTAGCATCTGGTTGAAAAAAATTATAAATAGTTTATAAATTGTCAAACATATTTAGCCATACATTTCAATAAATTCAAAAATACTATTAACTTATCCATTACTCATTTGTATCTACTAGTCAAATTGAACGTGCATTGCACGTTATTCTAAAATTCTTTATAAGTGATGTAAAAGAAATATTTGACACCAATTTTTTGGAGGATTTGATGAGTTTTGGACGAATTATAGAAAATAAAACTTAGCATAAAATGTAAGAGAAAAAAATTGTACTCAAATTATACTCTAAAAACTCAATTTCTATGATTCAAAGTTTTTGTAATGATGAAATATTATAAATGAGCAATGTTTTTATATTACATTTGATATATAAAAATTAATTATTAACACATAAATTTAAACACCCATTAAAATTTATAGATACATAAATATGAATAAATTCATTTATAATAACTCTAAATTCATGTAATTGCAAATTCATCAAGTAAAAATTCATTGAATCTAAATTAATATGAATGTTAACTAATTGAGAATTAACAATACAAATTTGATAAATGACAATAATTTTACAGTATTTACTACATATCGAAAAATGAAAAGTAAAGTATTATTGAAATAATTGAATTGTATGGGTTAAAATCGTCCAAAAAATAATTCTCTCTTGATGTGATATTTTAATATATTATAGATGATGAAATACTATAAATGATCAATTTTTTTATATTACATTTGCTACACAAAAATTAATTGTTAATACATATAAATTTACACACCTTTTAAAATTTCTAGACACATGAATATAAATAAATTTATCTATAATGACTCTAAATTCATGTAATTCAAGATTCATCAAATGAAAATTCATTGAATCTAGATTAATGTGAATGTTAATTAATTAAAAATTAATAACACAAATTTCATAAATGACAATAATTTTATAGTATTTATTACATATTGAAAAACGAAAAGTAAAGTATTATTAAAATAAATAAATTGTAGGGTGGTTAAAATTGTCTAAAAACTGATTTTCACTTAATATGATATTTTAATATATTATATATTATATATATTTCTATCTATTTATCATGTAAACTTTTTTATAAGTTCTTCCCAAATTGAGGCTTAGAAGAATCCAATTCCAGACAAAGGCTGGGTCATTCAATCTATATCTTATATGGCAAGTCTCGGAGTTTATTCGTTATTGGATCTTTAGCTTTTGCAACATTCGTGTTTTTAAAGAACACCAATATTTTTAAATCCCCGCCATTTTTTGTACTTTTTCTTTTTAACCTTTTTATAATTCCCAGAAAACTTTATGTTCAAAATATTATGCAAATATAAATAAAGTTGTGACCCACCCAGTTGCAGTAATTAAATCTTCTAATAATAAACTTGTTATTTTATATATTTTAATTTAAGATCCCATATGCGATGACGCTTTGATAAAAGAAACTGATGAATATATCTCGACCAGACGAAAAAGAAGCGCTAAATCATTATCGTAATCAACAGCATAAGTCTAGAAACGAACTCCAATCATAAATCCTCCATTTTTCCTGGGATTTGATTAATTAGCAGAAATCTGTTGTAAAAAATCCCACATAAAATATCCAAAAGAAACTACCTTAAAACACGCTTATACGCTGATTTTGTCTCCATAAAACCAAGAAAATTCATATTCACTTAATTTGACTCTCCTCTCCCCTCTCCCCTCTCCCCTCTCTAATGAGAACAAGGAGAGAAGCTGTCTGTCCCTTGAGGATACTGGAAAGAGCCAAGCATTAATTGGACTGCACGTTATCAATTTTCTTCTTCCTTTTTTTAATATATGCAGCAGCAATTTTGATTCAAATTTGAATGTTCTTCTATAGGATAATAATTATTTTTATTAGTTGTCTCTTGCATAACAAATTCTGGGATTTTTGTCAAACCGAAGGAAGATCCTCATTAAAATTCCTTCAGGGCTCTATAAATCTTGGCCTCGGCCATGGCTACCGGGGCCTTCTGTGGGGTGGCTCCTTTCTTTTTCCGTAGGAAGATTCCTGGAATTGAGGTACGTCTATTTCTATATTTTCCCAAATTATAGTTCATTGAGACATATTTTCATTATGCAATAATGAGGTTTTGTTATCAATATCCGCACGTTTTCTCTATATTTTCATGCACATAAATAGATGGGTGTACCTAGAAATTTGATAATTATCTTGGTAAATGCATATTTCAATTTTCTTATAAGCATAGGGAAATCAAGCAGAATCTGATTAACATTTTTAAGTTGTATTCAATATTTATTCGTAATTAGTTAGTTTAGTGCATTAGAATTCTGAAAAATCAAGGCCCCCAAACCCAAGTGAAAGAGGAGGGTTGTGGTAAGGTAACACACAACGTAGAACTTTTCCAAATCTTAAGGAATAAAACCCAACACACGCTTGTCCAGCGTGATTATTCATTCTTTTCAATTTCTTCTCGATTTATCGAGGAATGGGAAAATAAGATTTGTGTACCTTTTCGTTTCAAGATATGAATTCTAAGTCGGGGACAATTTTTTCACTGTATATTTGGACAAATTTTTGATGGCATATGTTATAAACGACACATCATGCTAAACATTGACAGGGAAAAGCAGTACCTCATGCAAATAAATCAATTAATGCACCAAAGAATATGAAGGCCATGAACACGGAGCTCAAGAACAAGATTTCTACCTTCAGAGACTTGCTTGATCTGCCTCCTTGTGTTGGCTCTGCTTCAGTAAATGAGGTATTCCAATCCTTCCTCAAGTTTAATCTTCTTCTCGCGACTGAAAATATAGATGAATGCAATGGCTTTAACATCTTGTCTTGTTCGACAGCTGCTGATTTGGACTCTGAAGGATCTCTTCAAATTGTATCCTAGGGTCAAGCCAAATATAACGGTGTCAGAACTTGAGGAAGCCTCAATACATCAGGTTAGCTATTGATCACAACAAATAGAAACCCACATATTTTCGAACATGCCATGAAAGGTTTACAGCACCATCGATATAACATTTTTAGCTTTTAAAATGATCAAAACAGTGTCTCAATTTCTTCTGTGATGCTCTGAAATCACTTGGAAACCTGTGGAAAAATAGCGGAGAATGGATGGTCAACTTGAAATATGATGCATCAATAAAATTAGACCAAATTGGCCTGGAACAAATTGGTATGTTGATTGTTGTCCTCAGACCATCAAGAAAATATTTTTCATATTTGATCTTAAGTTAATAAACAATCTTCCTTTGTTAGCATTGGCAATGCTTGAAGAGATGATTAAGCTGGCAAGAGAGAGGCTGTTTGATATGATGGATGATGATGAAGACATGAGAGACTACGGTTCCCCAACAAATGCATTTGGAAAGGCTTTCTCCAAATCTTATTCAGATAACAAGAATTCCCATTCTAGCTCTCCTGCAACCCCAACCTCAGTCCTTCCAGAAATTAGGAAATTCTCGAGTAAGGGCGAGAAGATGTCTTATTCTCCACCTAGGCTCCTATCATTGAGAGTTCAGGCAGTTGAAAAACTGAACCCCATTGACTTGAAGCGCTTATCGTTGCACATGTTCCATCACACAGATGCTCAAGATCCTAAATGCTCAATCCAGGTAAGGACAGACAAGCAACAGCTAGAGTTACAAGAAAAGTGGCCTTCTGAAGGGAAAGAGGGTGATGTTGAGGTTAATCAAGATTTTGAGATGCTGGATGATATGGAAAAGATTGATGAAATTAACCAAGAATGTGAAATGAAAGATGATGTTACAAAGATTCTGGTTACTAATTCAACTGGGGTGACAGTGAGTAAAGGAAGAAATGGGCTTGGCTCTCCACGTCTTCAAATAGTGGCTGCTCCTGACACTCCGACAAACGAAGATATTAAAATGGTTTCGCCACAACCATCCTCTAACTTGCAATCAAATGATGCAGAGCCAGAAGGAACTTCTCTAACATCACCAACCATGTCACCACCAAATGCAGTATTGTATCAAATATCAGAACCAGCTCCACTGCCTCCTCCACAATCCACATCCCCAGATAAAAAAGAATCAATTCCAGTGGCTCCATCACCACCGCCATCCCCTAACTTGCAGTCAAATGATGCAGAGACAGAAGGAACTTCTCTAACATCACCACCCACGTCACCACCAAATGCAGCAATGTATCAAATACCAGAACCACCTCCACTGCCCCCACCACAGTTGACATCCCCAGATAGAAAAGAATCAATACCAATGGCTCCATCACCACCACCCCTACCACAATTATCACCCATTACATCGAAGAGCATAGTATTGTCAGCACCTCCACCTCCACCACCATTATCACCCATTATGTCGAAAAGCAAAGCCATGTCAGCGCCTCCGCCTCCGCCTCCGCCTCCGCCTCCGCCTCCACCACCACCGATGACTCCAAGAAAAACAGATGCAAACCTTACACCATCACTACAGGTGATATTGGGAAATATGGCATCTCCACCCCCACCGCCCCTACTCCCTGTTATGTCTAAAAATCGGGCATCTCCCCCACCACCACCGCCACCACCCATGTCATTAAAAAATGGTGCACCACCACTGCCACCCATGGCGTCAAAAAATGGTGCACCACTACCCCCACCTCCACCCATGTTGACATTGAAGGGAGTTGTGCCATTAACTGGAGCTGCTCCGCCACCACCTCCAGGGCTTGCTGGTGCCAAAAACCTCCTTCCCAAGAAAGCAACAACAAAATTGCGGAGATCCTCTCAGATGGGTAGTCTGTATCGACTTCTGAAGGGGAAAGTAGAAGGATCAAATCTTGATGGTAAATCACCAGGAAGAAAGGGTAAGATTGGAGCTTCTGCCTCAGGAAAGCAAGGAATGGCTGATGCATTGGCAGAGATGACAAAAAGGTAATCTTTGTAATCGTATAGCCGATTAATTAGTACGCATGTAACTTTGGTAATTAAAAGAAATTATTTCATCCAAAAATCATCGGCATTAATTTTACAGGTCAGCATACTTCCAACAAATTGAAGAGGACGTGAAGAATTATGCCAAGTCAATTAAGGAGGTGAAAGCTGCAATCAATTCATTCCAGACATCTGACATGCATGAGCTCTTAAAATTCCACAACTACGTAGAATCTAACCTCGAGAAGCTGACTGATGAAACACAGGTTTAGTCGAGCAAAATTCTTTGTGATTCTTGTTCTTATTATACTATGTCAGCGATCATGTCCTAAAAATCCTCATGCTTTAGGTACTAGCAAGATTTGAAGATTTTCCTCAAAAGAAGTTGGAAGCATTGAGAATGGCAGCAGCACTATACTCCAAACTAGACTCAACTGTCAATACTTTACAGAACTGGCCAGTAGTGCCCCCTGTTGGTCAACTCATAGACAAGGCAGAGAGTTACTTTAATAAAGTAAGACTTAAGATCGTGGAACCCCATAATGCTATATTGATAATTTAGTTTTAAACGAGAACCTTGTGCTGTTACTAACAAAAGCAATTGCATCCAGATCAAGATAGAAATGGAAGGACTGGAGCGGACTAAAGATGAAGAATCCAAGAAATTCAAGAGTCACAAAATCAATTTCGATTTTGGCATCCTTATACGAATCAAGGAATTGATGGTAGATATTTCTTCAAGTTGCATGGAGCTCGCACTTAAGGTTAGTCTGGACAAAATTAATTCTACAATGTGAACGTACTTTATCGTACTAGTAGAAAAGAGCTCGTTGAACTACACTGAAAACATTTATTGGATATTAACTCAGGAGAAGAGAAATGCCAGTGCAAAAGAAAATCGGGGGGGGGGGGGGGGGGAAAAAAAACATGCAGCAACAAATTTACAGACTTGAGGCATTTGTTATACTGAAGCATTTCTTGGGGAACATTAAGCTAGACTCTGGCTTTCCTCCACCGTGTAGGTGTAGATAAATATTGTATTGTCATTTGTACAATCCGTGTGTTGTCTCTATTCTACAAGTTAGACATAGCATCTGGCAAGACTGAGACCGATATCATTCCACATAATTTCACCACTGAACAAGGATGTTTGTTTTGGTTAGAGTGTAAAGGCTTGGTTTATTGCATCTCAATCTTTGTTTCGGATTCTTTTTTATAATTTTTTAACGAGTTACATGGTAGTCATATTTGCAATTCGAAAGCAAACTAGCATATATAAAATCATAAAATTGAAGGGAAATGATATTATGTAAAATTATGAAAGAAAATATGATTTTCGCACCAGATTTTCGTACATCAGAATGTAGGTTTCTATCTTCTTTATTGAATTCCTCGTTTTCTTTTCTTTGTATCAAATTAATCTTTAGTTTCTGGTATTTCTTATCAGCTATATACCATTAGCAAAGACAGCTAAGACTTAAATAAAAAGAGAGAAACCAAAGTCCAAATCATCTCATTATATATCAAGCAAAAAACCGAACAACTGGTGGGCGCCTTTAAATCAGAGGCAGACGTAAGCAAGTAGCGAAGCGAGAAATTTCCAGCAGTGTGGGACACTTAAGACCGGTTTTTCACAATCACTCCGCCTCGAATATGGGTGATGGGTCCAAGCACTTCTCAGTGTAGCATGTTCACTGCACAAAGAACCCTAGCGTTGGTTTGAATATATAAACAATGCACATAATGAAAAATTTGACCGATCGGAGGAGCACAAAATCTACTGATGTTCAAGTTTTCTTTTTTTCTTTCTTCTTCAGCCTATAAGTTTCGACCACTTCTAGGTAAGAAATATTTGAAAATCAGCCATTCCTACCATTTGAAGCTTCCATAACCTCCGAATAGCCGGTGGCAACGAAATGCATCTTCTGTTGTTCAAATATTGTGAATCTACGTATACATACACAGCGGAAAATTAAAATTATTTCGATTCTGACTGAGGATTCCTTTTTGTTTAGATAGAAATCGTCATAAATATTGTACCTTTGAAAAATTCTGCAAACCTTTTGCTTTTCTTTTCGTTCCAGCAATCTTGGTTCGACACCCACAACTGTCCAATTGTCCAGCCTTCAACGATGATCCACATAAAGAATAAGATTGCAACGACTAGAATTTTCTCCTCTTTTACTAGCAAGAATAATTATGAAAAACCATCTGAATTGAAAACTCTAGTCATGCATTTATATAATCCCAAACGGGCCTAGTTCGATCTGGTCCAATATTTAATTAATCCATTTAATTAAATCCGGTCTGTGAATTAATTCGGGCCTATAAATAATCAAACCAATTAATTAATTTATCCAACGATTGTTAAATCAATTAATTGACAAATTGCAATTTTTCAATTCTCTTTTGTGTGGGACCCATCAAGTTCCTAATCACGATGCCTAATAACGTGAAATATTATTTTGATCTAATCAAAACTAATAAATTAAAACACCCCTTTTAATTTATCATCAATTCACACTCGCCGTCCCAGATTGACATCTAGTAATGTGTCAGAGCAATACATGTGACGGGAAATGTCATGTGGTATGACAAAATCAAACTCGTTCGTTTATCGTGAAACTATAATCCCTTCGTCTATATGATCCGATCAATTACGAGATATGGAATTGTGTCAATCCCGAATATCGATCATATCTTTCACTCCACTATTAAGTCAATATAAGTTGAAAACTCCTTTTCGATTTATGAGTACACCTTGGCCAAGGATTTCATCATCGACTTAATTGAATGAAACGCAGATCATAATCTCCTACTATCTAAGAGTGACGAATCATTTATTGATCAATCACAACCTTCATACGATTCTTGACGTACCCGAACGATGTCGTATTAGCGGCCCTTTGTAGAGCAACATCCAATACCGCAAAGTATGACTGTCCTCATATAAGGTATCATGACGACCTCAAGTCAAATGACCAATTTCACTACCGAACGTTAGAGATTAATCACTGACACTCAGATAGTTATCCATGTGGAATCTCTCGGCGGATCTCTAATGTTTTGTTCTATAACAAAACATCCACGTGTTTATTTAAATGTCACCACACTTTAACTTGTGAGATCAGCTACTTACTTCACAAGTAAAAAATACCACACGTGATGGTCTATCCGTAATAACCATATCTGTATCTCATTATTACTTAAGACCATGGACGATTTAAGATTCAATCAGATATAATTTGTATCTCACAATCACAACTTCTTGTGATTAACAAATTATGAAGTTTTGAATCTACGAACTCTATTATTTATTTAATTGTCTATTAATTAAATAATAGATCTGTCATTAAATTGTATTAATTATATATCGAAAGTATTTATGTCCAAAGTTGATTGGATCTAGGGCATAATACTTACAAACTCTCATTTGCACTAGATCCAATCACTTATGTATCCAATATCATAAGTCTACATGACGATCATGTTTATGCCACGACAACTCTTTGTCAGTGGATCTGCAATATTGTTAAATATGGAAATTTATTTTTTACTTTACGTTATTTTTATGTATTATCTCTCTGATGAGATTATACCGTATTAATACATGCATTGATGAGACCTTAGTTCCTTTACTTTTGCAATGACTCTATTGTTATCACAATACAATGGTATGTGATCAACAATATCAGGAACTGCTCCAAGTTCATTTATGAACATCATGATTCAGATTGCAACTCTTTGCTACTTTTGAAATAATCATGTATTAGGTTTCTACTATTGAATCAACGGTTCCTTCACGTTTGGAACCTTTCCAACAAACCGTTTAAGAGTAAACTAGTTTCTCCATATGAAATCTTTTCAAGATTTCATCTATGTAAATTGGGATGAGTTAAGCAATCTTCTAGATCTACCTCTATAGATCAAGTTGCTTTTCCCATATCATTCATGAATAAATCATTTAACAACCATTATTTCAACGATTGAAACATAGGGATGCTGTTTTCTATAATATTAGGAATATGACAATGCTCCCACTATCTTCTTGTAAACACACAATTCGTCTTCAAATTTGATAAAATCAAACACTTTGACTTTTTCATCAAATCTAAGATTTCAGCTCCAAGAGACTTCTCTTAACCTACAATCACGGTATGCAACTGTTGTAAGCAAAACTCGAATGGACTTCAACAAGGCTACAGGAGAAAGGTTTCACCAAAGACAACACTTAACTTTTACTTCTAGCCTTTCTTTGTATATATATGGATATTTCCATCCATATTGACTTTTTCTTTGTAAACTATTTACAAAAACTTATGAGTTTTATTCCATCAAGAGGCTTGACCAAGGTCCAAACCTTGTTCACATTCGTCGAGTTCATCTCGAGTTTCATGGCCTCTTACTGTCTCTTTTAAGTCAACTCTTGACTTTATTTTAGTGCAACTAGCAGGTTCATTATCCTCGATCAGTAATACCTGATTAGTAATCATGGATTCGCACCTTCTTGAAGGTCGAATGATCCTACTGGATTCACATAGAGCTGACATGTCCTCAGAAGTCTTTACTTCCTGATCAAGAGTATGTCCCATTTCAGATATGGGATCAGACTCGAATTTATCTACTTGGTTAACTATATCTGTGGACTCTTGAACTCTTTCAAGTTCTATTTTGCTCCCATTGTCCTCCTCTAGAATAAATATTTTCTCTAAGAAGACGATATGTCATGAGACGAAAACTTTCTTCATGATAATAGAATTTATATTCAAATGTCTGTTTTGAATATCCCCACAAATACGTATTTATCAGATTTAGTGTCAAACTTATCCGATTTAAGGTGCTTCAAATAAGCGTCATGGCCCCAAACTTTCATATGAAATAAATTGGGACTACTGCCTCTCCATAACTCCTATGGAGTTCTACTAACCAACTTAGGTGTGACATGATTTAGTGTGTTCCACACTACAATCAATGCATGACCCCAAAATAATTTTGGGAGATTTGCATGGCTTTATTAATCGCATTATATCTAATAGTTAACGATTCCTCCTTTTAGATATACCACTATACTGCAGTGTATGTGGAGGAATCCACTGCAAGAGAATCTCATTCTCTCTTAGAGAATCTAGATTTTTATTTTTAAGATACTCTCACTTGATCGAATCTTAATGTGAGGGTATCTTTACCTATTTGTTTCTCTACTTCTAGTTTGAATCCCTTGAACTTTTCAAAAGTTTCATGTTTGAGTTTTCATCAAATATACATGATTATT